ATTGTTGTTGTTGTCATTGTTGTTGTTGTCATTGTTGTTGTTGTCATTGTTGTTGTTGTCATTGTTGTTGTTGTCATTGTTGTTGTTGTCATTGTTGTTGTTGTCATTGTTGTTGTTGTTATTGTTGTTGTTGTTTAATACATTGTTCAGTTAGCTGCCATGCATTATTTTCCTCCTCATTCTTATTGAAAATATCATTTCCGAAGATATTTGCATTTCTTCCATCCTTCTTTACTTTTTTATTTTTTACTGTAAAAAAGGATCGTTGTAGTATTGCAATTACATGATTTATACATCTATCAATTTTCGTTCATTTTCAATTATTTTATTTCATTTTGATCATACAACAATTGCGACATTCTTTCAATTAATTACTATTAAGCTAAAAAATTGTGCAACAACGATTAATAATCGTTAATGTGATGATAATAAAAAAGCTAACAATGTGCTGTCTGTAATTTGTCACTTATTGGTAATGTATAATTTACATTATTTGATTTTTCTCCATGGCGTAATTTAATGCCATAAATGAATATGATATGATTCAATGATATCATTTTCTATTTTGTGGTATGGGAAAGTTATTGATATGCTGCAATTAATTGTTATTTGAGATTTATTGGTAAGATTGTTACGATTATAATACTAATGATCAATCATATCAGTTTATAGTAATGAAGAGTAGTAATGATCAATCATATCAATTTATTCATATCTATCCAAAATTTTTAAAAACAACGGTCTTTTTATTATTTATTTTCCCTTAATATTTAAATGAGACATTTTAATTAAGAAGTTTTACGAAAATGCTAAGTGCAAATTACGGTACGTTGATTAGGCCTTTTTCTTATTTGATTGAAGTAATTGTTGATATTTTTTAAATACAAGTTTTATTTACAGATAGGCCTTGAAAGTTTAGTGCCTTATAGTTCACATCAAATTAACATTTCTTCTATGATGGCTTAAATTTTAAATGATTGAGAATGATAGCTGTATTAATTGATGAAATTATGCTTCTATTTATAGTAATCTTTATCTTTTCTATATTTTTGTATTTATCAGTATTTCATCTTTCACTCTCCTCTCTTTCTATTTTTATATTTTTGCTTTGGAGAAACAATGATTTTGATGCCTAGACGGGCCTATTCTATTCATTCATTAACGAAATTTCAATTCTTCATAGTCATCTTATTCATCAGTAAATCGTATTGCCTGTTTGAACTTCCAAATTCTTTTAAAAATTCGTCGTTCATTCATTGCTTCCATTGGATTTACTAGCAGTTTTAATAATTCTGTTGTGAATATGCTATTACCTGCAAGCTAAAATTCTACAGTTTAATTAGTAAAATTCAAACAATTTTGATAAATAGATTAAAAGGTTCTGTTTTCAGGAAAGGCAAATTTTTAAGTCCTTAACAGGACCCATAGGCCCTGGAGAGTTGGTGAACAAATGTGCGCTCTTAGTAACTCTTCGTACAAAGCTCAGTTTTGAACTTCGTGATTGCCTCAATTATCACTTATCACTGATCTAAAAACAGAGGGAGAAGAAAGTTAGATAAAGAAGCATTGCATTATTCAAATTTTATATAAAAAACAAATCTTCCACTAAAACTCGAATATATTTTAAAAATACAAAACTATTGCATGAAATAGATCGGAGTAAGTTTGAATGAGAATAGAAATTAAAAATTTTAAAGGTATTAATTTAGTGTTTTTCCATTCTAAAAGCTAATGACTTAAGCGTGAATTTGCTATTTGTTAATTTCTTAAAACGAATTTATCTCAATCGATTATCAAAATTCCCTATGCTAACATTTCAATGAAGTATATAATTTAGTCATTAGAAATTTAAAATAACTTCATTTGCTTTTGAGTAAAAACCAACTTTTGTTCGGGAAAAAAAAAACAAAAGAAAAATTCCATGAACGCTATAAAAGATCATTTGGAATAATTCTCAAAATTTCATTTTCAGAATAATTTAAAAATTCAATTGCTGTGTCACATTTTTACGCGGAATATGTAAGACCTCCGAGTGAGAGAGATGCGTAATGGCTGAAAATAAACTGTTACTGAAAAGATCATCCGTTGATGTACCGTACGGTTTTGTCATACGACATATCACCTTTTATCCACCTAAGGTATCATTCTTTAATCATCTAATCATTTTATCTTATCTCTTAGATGCCATTATTACAAATTAATCAGTAAATTTGAGGATGAATTTTTCACTTATCAAATTTTAATTTTCATATTTAAAACTAAAAATCAAGCATATAGAATAACAAAATTTGAAAATGATAGATGTGAAATAGTATTTATCAGTGTCAAATTAATGTACTGACTGTTTCATAAAGAAGCTAATTAAGTTATGCAAATAATTTCTTTTAAGGAACAGATTTTAGTCTAACAATTGCTAAAAACTTCTTCCTTTTCAACTGTACTTTAAATTTAAGCTTTCATTATTACAAATATGATAAAAATAAAATAATTTAGTCTTTAATCACAAAATTTCATGGTAACATTTCCAAAAGCATCTAAATTTAACCGTTCAAAATAACAAATGATTGAATTATCTACATTTTCAAATTTTACGAGCAAATTAATCTAACCCTCACCTCCTCCTCCTTTTTTTTTTTTTACTCTTGAATTTAATTTAATGATTTGCAGATTTCTTCCAAAACCTTTCAACCATTTAAAATGTTGGTAATTTGTGAAGTATTTCAGAATAGTCCAATTGAAGGAATGAAATGTATACAGAAGCCAGTTTATACCTTAGCAATCCTAACTGTGAAACCAGCAAGCATAGCGGATGAAGCAGGCCTTCGAGCTGGTTATCGAATTATCGAAATGAACGGACAAGCTGTTCATCATTTGACTTACAGTGATGTTTGCAAAATTACAAAAAGGTTACTGTACAATTGAAATATTGCTTTAAGATGGAGTGCATCTCATGATTACAAAGGTCAAAGTTCTATTTATTGCTTTTAGATAATAAATGTTGCACAGATTAGGGATTAGTAAATAAATAGGATGGGGAATAAATTGAAGGTTGTGATACTTTGAATTGGCCTGAACGTTTAAGATTTGAATTTGGGCTATTTTTTTTTGTCTCCGGTAGATTCAGGCCTAATAGACTTAAATTTTGCTTCATCAATCTCTGTAGCATTGTTGTGAAATATCTCAAAAAAGATTTTTTTTTCCTATTTGAAAGAATTAATTATTCAACAATTGTGTAATTTGCAAAATATTGCAATTATTTTTCTTCCTAAAAAATTCTCAAAATTATAAAGCCAAAAGTAAGGAATGATGTAATCTATTTTCAATTTTTAATTGAATGACTCCAATAATTGAGACAATTGGAGGGAGAAAAATTAATAATCAAAAATTCTATCAAAAATAACATTGCATGACAAATTATTTATCAAATTTTTGCAGTGCATTTCAATGTTTTTATTTATAAATAATTTATCAAACGAGCATTTTACTATACCATTCATTAATTTAAAAAAAAAAAAATGCAAAATTAATTTACTTTTCCGCATGCTTTCAAACAGTTAGTATTTGTCAAGTTGAATTAATTATCAATACCGTTAATAATATATAACTGCAATTATTTTGTATAGTTAATTGCTCTGATAAGCATAATTGAATCATAATCATTTGGGATTCATTTATGCTCTCATAGATATTCCCGAGGGAAAGCGAAAATTTTCTTATCGATAAGAACCGATAAAGATAAAGTAACCAGTAACAGTAATAATACCTCTTTTCAACTGTAAGATTTCAAAGTTAATGAAATTTCAACTTGATTATGTTACCAACGATTGTAAATCATAAAAAGGGTCAATAAATGGCGAAAAATTGATTGATAATATTTAAGGAATATTTAAAAGTTAATCAATAACTTACATCTTATTTATAAAAGCATTTAAAATGATAAATAGGTAATTTTTAAATGCAACCAGCAGCTTATGCTTTATTTATAAAAGCATTTGAAATGGTGAATTCGTAAAATTTATAGTTTAAATAAGCAAACAGGTGGTAAACAAATTGACAAATGATCAAACAGAGAGAAATATATTATATCAAATCTTTTATCTGTCAATTGGAAAGAGATTTATTTAACAATTCATTCCTCTCGAATTCTCTAATAATCGCATACATCTCTCTTCCATTCTTTCCTTTCTTTACTTACCTATGCTTTTGTAAAGGTAAATTCAACCTCTCCACTCAATTATTTCCTTTTTTTTTTCACCTCTTCACTTTTCCCTCTATTTCCATTTTAAAAACCCATAGTTCCATCAGTTACTTAAAGTATTTTTTGACAGATTTGCTGTTTCATTAATGTTAAATGTCGCACAGAGAGAGAGAAAGAGAGAGAGAAAGAGAGAGAGAAAG